CTCGTTTCCGTCTGCTCGAAATTGTCGAAACTTTTTAATAAGAATGCCTGTATAACTCGAACGCGATGTATAACTCGGGGTGTAATTTAAGAGCAAAATTTCAGGCGAAGAAATAATAAAGTTCGTAACTCCTGCTTTGTGATATATTATATTCTCGCCGCATAAATACAAAAGCAACAAGCGCAACTTTTCATTCAGCGTTAAAGGATGTCTAGGGAACATCGTATCGCCGCAGCGAGAATTGCGTTCGCCAATAATTACGGACGAAAAGTGACTCGTTGCGACAATGAGCATCAGCTTCGCGCATCAAAACTTTATGCATGCAAGAGGAAATTATATATACGTATATAATGAGATATTTAACGTTGCAGATATTCTTAGTAATTAAATTTAGAACAAAAATTTCCGATAAGCACCGTGAATAGACCTCTCGCAGAATTTTCTTGAACGTCGGCAGATTTCTAATGAGATTGTGACTGCAACAATCACTTATGCGTTTAATATAAAGGGAAATAATAATATTTCGTTCTTTACATAAATATAATTATTTCAATTGACAAACCATATCTTATATTGTACACGTGATATTTGATTGCGTCTCCTTTTACACATTACTTTTGTACAATTAGTTTTAATTTTTTATTTTTTATTTGTAATTTATTTTTATTCTATTGCGTCTCATTTTACGCATTACTTTTGTACAATTAGTTTTAATTTTCAATTTTTATTTGTAATTTTATTTGCATCCATGATAAGTGTGTAACTCCGATTGTTGGCTCGTTCCCTTTTAGAATTTCTGCTTGATAAGGATCCAAACCCGTGGTCGAAACGTTGCACGTTATATTTTTAATTTATTAAACAAGTGCCAGTTAAGGTCGACTAAACTGATCCATTATAATTATTTCATTTAAATAACATAAAAATAATTTACGATGCAATAAGAAATGTATCTAATAATGTTACGTTCTTCGGCCAACATCTTGTTACTGCTTTGTTATTTTTTTAATTATCTCTATGATTTATTAGGAAAATTAATATATATTAATCAGCATTATTAATTAAATACTACAAATTACTTAATACAAATTAATAATAAAAGCCAATATTATGAATGAACTAATATAACTATTCATATAACATTAGCTGTCATTATTATTTTTTAAATTTAACAAATCTATGTTTGGGTGTGACATGCCTAATGCACGTAATAATCTTCGATTTTTGTCGATAAGAGTCTGCACAGTATACGCCAAAAAATGATTAAAGTTTGCAGCAGATAATTATGCGACATAGCTGATAAGTTGAATAATATATTATTTGTTTGTTCTTCCTTCAAATTAGAGAGAATAGACATATAATGCAAGTATTAGTTTACAAAGAAGTTGGAAAAATCGGCCTTAAGTGTACGGCAATGTCTAAAAGCCAGTGTCTACGATGCTAGAACTTGGTCCAAAGCTATTCCATAAAAGCTGCAAGTTGATAGGCTACACATTTCTCGGAACTAGAACTTGGACCAAGCTAACATCGTGGATACAGGCCTTAAGAGAGTACGCGTGCTATTTTTTCCTTATAAGTTTTAGCAAAGTATCCGATTGTAAACTACGGATACCGTTATATAATTTTAGACAAATGAAACTTGCAGTTATTCCATAAAAGCTGCAAGTCAATTGGCTACACACTTCTCGGAACTAGAACTTGGTCCGAGTTCTAGCATCGTGGACCCAGGCCTTAAGAGATGGCACAAGAACATATAAAATAATATCGAAGATTGCAAAATAAAGCTTAATCTTTTGCGTTGACTTTCGCATTTACATTTCAAATCAAGCCAAATGGATCTACGTCGAAGTTATTTGTGATTCTCTTAGTACGACGACAACTTTCCTCGATGTTATACAATCTATTTATTACACTCATACGCTATCTTGTCGCTAGACTTTCGAATGAACTCGAAAATGTATATAATTCTTTGCTCTTTACTCGTACACTTTGCTCAATCATTGTTTTCTAACATTTGAGAAGACCAACAGGATCTTCATGTTTGGCATATTAGAAAATTTGCGAAAAAAAAACTAAGTTAGCAAACGCTTACATGTTCCAGTTGATGACATATAAAGTAATGTCTGTCCATCATTTTAAGCTCTATCAGAACTTTTTTCGATCATTTTTGTGGCCACAGGGATCAAAACTAGTTAGGTGATATTTGGTGCCACCACCTTACGATACGATCACAACTCTCCACGCAGTACGAAATATATCGGAGACGTCCATCGTCGAATTCGTTAAGTACAATCCCTTTCTGTAGTAGCGACCAACGATAAAAGTACGGCGCAAGACATACCACGAATGATACGGAGCTTCCCAGACCCTTTCCGATCATCAATTAATTCGATACTTTCACGACAAAGGATGATGTTATCATAAGTTGTTTATCAGAAGCGATAAGATGTCAAGGAGGGAACAGAACGCTTGCAAGCTTAATCGCTGTGCGCGATTATTGGCTTCGTACGTGCCAGTGTATTTTTTTTAATAAGCTGACAAAATTTCTTATTTCATTATAGAACTCATAAGTACACACAGAACGTTCGTCAACGTAAAACTTCCAAAGTGTTGTGAAGGCTCCCAAAAAGAAAATATGTAGAAAGGAGGAAGTGCCAATGCGAGCCAAAAAATGAACGGAACTCGGTTCTCACAATTTAAAATCGAATTTTCTCTTTAATGAGGAAACAAACGTTTCAACCCTTCTTCGGGTCTTCCTCAGTGAAACCTCGTTTAGACCAAATAAAGCATAAGGCAATATCTCAGGCAATCAGTGTACCAAGTGACTTCATTCTTCTATCTGTGTTAGTATCAGTGAGTCTCCATATGGTCCCAGACACAAAGAGGACTGAATAACACAACTCGACAGAGGGACGGATCCGTAACAATGCTTTATTCGGTCTAAACGAGTTTTCACTGAGGAAGACCCGAAGAAGAAGGGTCGTAACGTTTGTTTTCTTATTAAAGAGAAATTTTGATTTTAAATCGTGAGAACCGAGTTTCGTTCATTTTTTCGCTCGCATTGGCACTTCCTCCTTTCTACGTATGTTCGTAAAGGTATCTTCATGCGTAAATTAATACTGGGGAAATTCATTTCGACGAAATATGCAAAATTTGAGGGTAGAATTGAAGAGAATTCAAATTTAGTACGCATATCTAAGCTGGCTGCTATGCAGTGTTTCTTATATCTCAAAGGATTTCCATATAAGTACACCTTGTCCGGTGCGGACGCTCTGAAATTGTACTTACTTTATACGAAGAAAGTTTTCCAGTATCTGGAAAATTAACGTAAAGTGATAAATAAATTAGATTTGCGCCAGATTGCGTGTCACTCTCGCAGGTAGTCGGGATGAAGGTATCGGTCACTAATATTTATCACTTTTCCGTAATACGTAAAATATTATAAAATTCATGTCTCCGTAGCGACATTTCTACGTATGTATTCAACTGATATAATTTACGTCCTTTCTAAAGCATATTTTTACATTTAGCACATAAGTTTGTAATCTGACGTTCCCATTTCTGTCCAGTGGGCCTAATGGCATTTGACCACATGCGATACGCCGACTAGAATTTGCAGATTCCAATATTGATTGCAATTGAAAAGGGCCACAACCCATGGCCGAAACGTTGTGCGAATAAAGGAGGTTTCCTGTTGCCAGTTGTGTCGGATTGTTCAACTTATTTGTTGACTAATTACTGGCGATTGAATATTTCCAAATTTTACTATAAGATTCGTTGACTCCGATAAAGGTAACTCATCACATTAGGCGATTCTTTATCGATCCTCTGTCCGAAAGGGAATCTAATAAGACTCAACAGTTGGTTTCTCAAGTTTTCCCATTTTTCTGCCGATGTTAACGAGACAGCGCAAAATTTCTTCACTTTTTCTATGCACGAACCTAGATTATATTTAGTTATTAAAGTTCACTGATAATACTGTCATGAGACATTAGAACGTATGTATAATTCAAACCTTATACAATGTCGTACATAATATCTGATCACTTACGATGAAGACGAGGGCTTTCTTTAATTCCACGACGGTGATTACAGTTTAGTAATGAGAAATTTCGTAACTATCTAATTAGTCTGTTCTTGAACACCCAACGTTGCAGACAGTACTTTTCAGAGTGGTGCTAAAACTAATGCGGAAGACAATGACTTTTCTCGCAGTGTTGGTTTAACAGACTATGAAAGTGACACACGCAGAACATACATCGACGCAAATGTAAACATTATTTTTGTGATGTTGTTAGGCTTGTCTACCAAAGAGCGGGGAAATTAAACGTTATTTGCTGTAATCTATATATGTAATATATTTCTTTTTCGTAGAAGTGTTCTTTATAAATAAGCTTTACTGGATTTTCGTCAGCTGTTCCATTGAGTTTATTAGTCAAGCATAACCAATCGCGTTTAATACAGCAATAGAAAAAAATATGAAAAAAATTTCGCATTAAATACAAATCAAGGTTAAAATGTATCGTTGTGTCATTATATTAATACACACACAGCTTTTTTAATAGCTAGGCCAAGAAAATGAAAATATATGTGAATATATGCAAATACGTCCGCTAGTGGATTATATTATTATACGTAAAGTCGCGCTAAAATAATTTCATATATGACATTTTTCATATATCGTCGAGTATGATACTATATAAATATAATTATAGTCATACATTTCATCATATGTGCTCATACATACGATACGAGGAGTGACCTTATGTATGAACTTATATGCTTGTCGTATATGTCGGATATAGGATCATGTATGATCATGTATGACGAATCATTCATCATAATGGATTATATATGATATCATATACCTATCCTGTTTATACGAGTACATGCTCAATATATGGTTATACATTACCAAATATGTATATTCATATATGATCATGCTACTTTTCTTTACAGCCTGCTATTGTAAGATTTGTATGTGTATTGTCCATATTAACTACAGATGTATTAATTTCCTAATTTCACTATGCTAATCAATTGTCACTCCAGGGCAATTTATACTAGTTAACTTGGCGGAGAAATTATGTGACTTGAGTTTGTCTAAGACCTCACTGATGAGTTCGTCTGTGCTGTCCGGTAACAGTAAGATAAACGCATATCCGCCTCCACCGTTACCCGTGAGCTTCCCCGCGAGTGAAAACTGCTGCGCTATTGCACAAATAGCGTCCAGATTTGGATGCGACATATCTAAAGTGTGCAGTAAACCTTGATTCACGTTGACAAGATTCTGCAAAGTATACGTGTTAAGAGATGAACATAGTTCCCAGCAGATAAGTTCTATGTAGTAACAATGTCTAAAGGATCGTCTACAACAGATGAAGTAAGTAAAAAAAATGAATCATTTTCATTTCTTACTCCTACTTTAGCTCTGACGCTCACGGTGAATTAGAGCGCAGTTCGACCAGAGTGCTATAAATATTTTTTTTAATTATGCCTGCACTTTAGCGTTTGCATTAATAAGTAAAGGTTTTATGGTTTTCTTACTTCTTACTGTTTACTTCTAATGTAGACGGTCCCTAAAAAATAGCACAAGAAGATGTAAGATAACACTCAAGTTTGCTTACTAATAATTTTATATAAACTTCCTTCGAAATTGTACGAAATTCGTTTTCGTCCGAGTAACACGTTATAGCTTTACGTAACTCGACTAGCTGATACTCCATGGTTTCAAGTATGTCATTAGACGCTCCGACTACATCGTCGATACACTTCTGGATAGACTCGACGTATAAATGTGAATGACAGCTGTTCCTCATTCGTTCATTTTGTTCGGTTAGTGTTTTCTGACAAACATTTGAGGAAACTAGCAGAATCTTCATGTTCGGTATTTCTCCATATATACCTATATGCGCGTCCGATTCAAACATACGTACCGAACCGTACAAGGATACGTAGGAATCAACTGTAGTCAAGCAATGGTATATCGTATAATTACATGTCCGAACGTATTGAAAAATATTTGAAATATCTTGATGGTCGAATTCGGCGATGACGACTCCTTTCTGTAGAAGCGACAAAAGGTAAAAACACGCCGCGAGACATGCCACGAATGATACGGAGCTACCCAGACCTTCTCCGATCGCCAATTCCGTTGATATTGTCACCCGAAAGGATGATGTGATCTTCATATTGTTTTTACGACTTATATAAACCAACAGGAAGAAGAACGTTTCTAAGCTTAACCGGTGCGCGAGATTATTGGGTTCGTACGTACCGGTGTACTCTCTTAATGAGCTGACAAAATTTTCTACTTCCGTGTACAACTCGGCATCAGTAAGTTCGCCAACGAGTTTCATGTCACCAAGACATAAAAAGCACGTTCGTAAAATAATCGTCATGTTTAACTGGATATCGGAGAAATTTATTTCGATGGTATATGGATACTCTGAAGGCAGAATTGAAGAAAATTCGAGCCTGGTACGCATGTCTAAGCTTGCTGCTATGCAGTGTTCTTCATATCTCAACGGATTTCCGCATAAGTGCACCCTGCCCGGTGCGGACACCTTGAAATTGTACATGCTTTATACGAACAAAGTGTCTTCTATTACCTGGAAAATTAACGTAATGTGAGAAATAAATTTGATTTGCGCCATATTGCGTATCACTCTCGAAAATGCTCAAGGTGAGGTACTGCTCACAAGTTAATATTTGCCATTTTTTCGTGGTACGTAAAATACTCTAAAAATTGTTTCCTCTCGATAATGGTAACTCATCACATTAGGCAATTCTTAATCGATTCTCTGTCCACAAAAGGCACCTAATAAGATTCAACAGTTGGTTTCCCAATTTTTTTTCATTTTCTTGTCGATGTCACCGAGACAGCGCAAATTTTCTTCACTTTCTCTACGCGCGAACCTAGATTATTTTTAGTTATTAAAGCTCACAAAGTTTATGTTAATACTATACTGCCGTAGAAAGACATTGGAGCGTATGTATTATTTAAATCTTGCACAATTTTATATATAATTTCTGAGTGGCACTTTACTTACGACGTAACAACGAAGGTTTTTTCTTCTTTTCTTTTTTCTTAAATCCACGATGATGATTATAGTTTAGCAATTAAAAATGTTGTCTACTGAGAACTGTGTGATAGATCTGTTCTTTAAAACGTAATGTTGCGGACACTATGTTTCAGAGTGATGGTAAAAGGAATGTAGAAGGTAACGACTCTTCTCGCAGGGTTAGTTTTACAGACTATAAAAGTGACACACGCAGACCATGCATAAACATAAATATAAATACAATTTCTGATGTTGTTAAGCCTCTCTACCAAAGAGCGGTTAAATTAAATGTCATTTGCCGTAATTTACATAAATATTTCTTTTTCGTAAGTGTTCTTTATAAAAGTTCACTGGATTTTCGTTAGCTGTTCTAGTTATTTTATTAGTCGCGGTCCATTACGTTTAATGTAACAATACAAAACAATATTTAAAAAAATTTTTACAATATGCCGTCATATATGCCAGGTGCAGTACCAAGTATGATCATGGAAATATTTGTAATATTTGATCATATATTATATAATATGATATCATATTTGCTGATCTATCCTGTTTATACATGTATACTCATACATAATTATGCTACTTTTCTTTACAGCCTGCTATTGTAAGACTTGTATGTGCATTGTCCAAATTTAACTACACATATTAAGTTACTAATTTTAACACGCTAGTCAATTTTTACTCCTGAACAATTCAAACTGGTTAGCTTGGCGGGGAAATTACGTGACTTGAGTTCGTCTAAGAGCTGAGTGAGCAGTTCGTCTGTGCTGTTTGGTAACAGTAAAATGAACACATATCTGCTTCCACCATCACATAAAGCGTGCAGTAATCCTTGATTCACATTGATAAGAGTCTGCAAAGCATACGTATTAAGAGATGAATAAAGTTTCCAGCAGATTACTATGCAGTAATAGTGTCTAAGAAATAGCACAAGAACATGTAAGATAACATCCACGTTTGCTTACTAATAATTTTGCGTAAAGTTTCTGCTGGATCAGTTGCAATTCACCTGTGTCCGAGTGACGTGATACCCTTACGTAATTTGAATAGATTATTCTCCATGTCTTCAAATACAGGGTGTCCTAAAACCACCGGAGGTCCTCTTAATGACAGATTCCTTAGAACATTTCCAGACGAAAATCCTAATACAAAAGTGTCGAGGCTATAATAGTTTTTAAATTAGAAGCGATTATTTTCCACAAATGATAGGGCTGAAATTTCGCGCGCTCAGGAACGGCGAAATGACAAGTGATATAAGTGCTCCTATGAATATCGTTCTTTTTATATCACTTGTCATTTCGCCGTTCCTGAGCGCGCGAAATTTCAGCCCTA